AACAAAACAAAGGATGGCTCGAAAAAAATGTGTTGCAGTCAAAAAATGTTTGTCTTTTCGTTTCAGAGAAATAAAATATGTGTCTTGAAGCAGAGGTCTTGTGTGTGGGGGTCGGGGTGAGGGTTGGGGTGAGGGGGGGGGGGGGGGGGGGGGAGAGCATGGGGACCTGGAGGCTCCTGGCGTCATGCAGAGCGGAGAATTCCTCACATACTGACTGCAGTCGACAGCGGGCGGCCGACCATGGTTCCGCTATCGTGTTGTTACAACGAAACATAAAGACTTTGTTGTTTGCCGGCTTTTGTGGAATAACATCTCCTACAAAGCTGTTTCTCTTTTGCTATCTTTGAAGGTTGCACCGAAGAATGATCGGGATGTTCCATTAAATCCGAACGTAACAAACACAGTGAGCATGTACCGTTACCTACACACACCTATGTGTTATTGACATACACACTCGTATGGCAGGGGATTGGGCGGGGGGGGGGGGGGGGGGGGGGGGGGGGATTTTGGGGGGGTGACGCACACGTTCTATGTGATACCATCTCATTGTCACAGATCAGCTGATAAACATAAGTAATGATACCACTTACATCTAAAAATATATCACATCTAATAGGTACTTTTCGTGGAAGATATTGACGAGTTAATATCCGAAACTGCAAAAAGTTTGTCACAACAGTTTAAACGTCAAGGAGGAAGTATTTTTCCATTAGTGAAAAAGTTCCCTGCTAGGAAGATCGGCACAAACAAAACCAGCGCCACTCAGTAAACTTGCCATGTGGCGCTATGCATATTGACACAAGCAGTTAGTATATGAGCGTGATTCATGATCTATATACAGAGTCTAAACAACCTTCAGTACTCACGTAACGTACTGCGAAGAAAAATATCAATTATATGTTTTATCAATATGAAGATATTTAACATAATTACTTGATCCTACAATGGACAGGATGTGAAAAATAGTTCTGCATTATTTAAGAAATGACAAACGTCTTCGTTTGCAGAAACAAATACTATACTATTCGGACATTAGCCAATCTTTTGCCAGAGCTGAATTCGTAGCTGAACTACTAGTATGTAAATACTGTCCAAAAATAAGTTGAAATCATTTTGGTCACGCAACTTCTCATAAACTGCCGGGCAAACACAGGTATACACCATGTTTGATGGTGGCTAAACAAAGAAGTAATGGTCATTCGATGGTGATGTATTTGATGCGGGTATCACAGTTGTGTTTTGAACCTTAGGTTTGCAGTGTTTCAGTGCCTGTTGTCAGCCTAGTAACATTATCATAAAGTTTGTAATTTTATGGTCAAATCCACGTTTTAAGTGTATACCTTCTTTTCCCCGGCAGGTTGGGTACATTGTATTCAGAAGATGGAGATTTCGTTTCTTTCCCTCTATATTGCTGTTCGCGAATAGGTCATAAGTTCACAACGTGATTGGTATAGAAGATAAAAAGGGCTACTTGTTTATAAATATATATATATGTAACTTTTCTGTTTTCTGTAACCTTCAAATGTGTCATCTTTCCCCCGAAAAGGACCCTTCTCTTACCTCGTCCTTTCCATAAATCCCGTGACTTAATTTCCATAAGTCTTATCCCTTATCGAAACTGACTCCAATAACGTACTTTTGAGTTGAAAAAATTGTAATAGTGTATTTAAAAACTGAAATCTATTCATAATTGAGATAAATATGGCCCTGCTAGATACGTTGGTTCCAGATAGTCTGAGAACGATATATGGATTGCAAACGTAGACGCAGTGTCTCTCGATTCAGAAAGTGTGATAATTTGTTAGAACTGGAAATGTGTCGTTCTATCAGATAACACTCAAATAAAATATTTATACTTGCCTCTTAAGCCTGTATGGAACAGGTGGTACATCTATCAGGTGTAAAAGAAAGATTTATAAAGCGTCAACATTAATACAAGGCACGGTTTCAAAGTGTTCTGAATTAATTATTTAGATTTTAACCTTCGAGTGTAGACTTTGAATGATTTTATTTAACCTAATACGTTACAACACTTTTTCGAAACATATACTATTAGTTCAGGAACGTGTGACCCAAAACATCAAATGAAATTTGGCTTTACATAAGAACTCAATTTCGTCTTTAATAGTACAGTTATTTGAAAAACTAAGTTAAGAATTTGGTAAAACACAGGGGATATTTTTGGAATTTTAATTACAATGAACCACATCCGTCAGGAAAAAAGATGATTTGAAGACGGGCTTTAAGGCTTTCCATATGGACACGGTCCTCAGTTAATCACGTACAAGGCAAGAATAGATGCATTGTACCAGGCGAACATACTCGTGAATGGCCATGAAGGGAAACAGTGGTATTTCAACGACTTGTCTTCAGAAACACAGTCCAAGGCGGGATAGATACATCGCTTTAACTGACACATCTTCACTGTCACAAATTAACAAGATTGGGTGTTTACTCAGTACAGCGACGTTGGTGAATGGCATCGCTAGGTATGTGAAGGGCGCCAGTGATAAAGAGGCAGTCGACGGAACACTGTGGTAGAGTTCTGTCAAGACGATCTGGAGAGCTCAACACCAAACTTTTAAGGCTCTCCACAAGAAATCCGTGTTTTTACGAGTTATATGTAATCCCAGAGCTCTGTACATTCCGAGATGTGTAATTAAGGGATCAGGGCCATGCTGGGATGGAGAGAGAGTTCAAATTAGTTTAACATAATGAAAGCCAGGCACCATTTCCATTTGTTGGTTTTTTGTTGGTTACAAGAGAAAACAGAACAGTAACTTACATCATTAAAAGCCGTTGAGCTGTGGGGGGAATTGAACTCTGGAGTGGATTGGCGGGGTGGGGGAAACATCAGAGTGAGAAGTGGGGTGGGGTGATCCTATAAAGCGAAGGGGGAGGGGGCTATTGAGGTAAACCTGTGAAAAAGATGAAATCGCTATTTGGTGGGATGGGGTAGGCAGAAATAAGGAAGGGGTGGTGTTAGGGTGGGCAGGATGTGCGTTTTGTGGTTATAATTGGGGGTATTGAGGGGGCTACTTGTGAGTTAGACGAAATTAGGTACCAGTGGGAGAGGACCGGGGGCAGTCATAAGAGTGGGAGGGTCGGGGTAAAATGTTTGATGTGTGAGATTTATGGTAATGTTTCAGTGGAGGGGGGGGGGGGGGGTATTTAAGTGATTGCCCAGTCTAGAACGGCCGGGTGTGGGGATGGAAAAGGTTGGATGGAGTGTGATAAGGGGTGGGGTGTTAAAGTGTATGTATGTGTTTTGGAGAGAGAGAGAGAGAGAGAGTGAGGGGGGGGGGGGGGGGGGGGGGCGGTACCCATTGGATAGATGACATGGTTAATTTCAAAGTTTGAGTAATTCCCAGGGAGAAGCGATATTATAGGGGATTAAAAGATGGCGGCGATATATGGGGGGTAGGGATCATATCTATTGGGAGGGACGGGCAGATTGAAGCGAACTGTGGGTGTCCATGTGTGGTTGATGTACAGCTGTAGCTCTCCCCCAGGCCAGGCTGCCCACATTGGAGGGGTGGGGAGTACAAGTGGAGGGGGAGAGGGTATACGGGCACAGCGGGATCGCATCTGCTTTTAATCTCCATCTTTTGAAATATGCATGCGCATTATAGACATTATCATGGTCGGTGCTCACACTGCGCCAGGCGAGCCAAGTCGCCCATTCACAACACAGACGCTGAGTGGCAGTTGTCTGATAGAAGACCGTGTTTCAATGTTTCCCCATATCTTTAAAACATATCGTCCCAACTCATAGAGTAGACAATGACACGAAACATGCAGTAAATAAGAATTTATGAACTTAATAATAATTTCAGTCGACGAATTTTACGGCACAGATGAAAAATGAACTTGGTGCGTTAACGTCAAACACCGCGCGCCAACAATAGTGGAGTGACGTCATTGCCATATATCTACACAAGTAGGCACCTCTTCCATTGCATATATTACCTATATACATACATCACACGGTGCATATGCGAGGTATGCCAAGTCAGGCTCCCTGCTCATGATGATATAGCATAGGGTAAGAACTGTGTCGGTCTTCACGATACATCAAACATAAGCTTCTCCTAGACCATATCAGTTTCACAACCTCCTACGATGAAGATATTTGTACCATCAGCGATAACTCTCCGATTAAATATTTAAAATTAAAAACATATAACTACTAAATCATTGATCAATTTGGTGTTTTTTCCCCAATAAATGGAACTTTGTTCGTGTATATCAATCCTCTTTTACACGACCAAATCTCTTTCAGGCAAACGTCCATGGGAAAAGACAAAACCCCTTGTCCATCACATCACGAAACAAATGAATCGTTTGACATCATAACCGCAATATCACATTCGTTTCTCCTTTCCTCAAGCCATATATCATCGCGATCAGTTTAATCAGACACTTATGTTTCAAAGTCCATTTTTTTCTCTCACTAAAAAAAATATTCCATGCGTTGATATAATCAGTTTATCTCGCTACTTGAGCTGAGAGCGACTTCCAATAAACAATATGAAAGCGTGCACGATAACCCGAGCGATAGAGCCCCGGTGGCCGGCCCGAGCTTTCATCCATCACTGTGCTGTTCCCTCTTACTACAAACAAACCCCTGTGACAGAGAAACACAGGATAGAGATATGTACACGGCTGGATTTGGCTTGAACAATCTAGCTGTATCTATCCCACTGTCGGCACAATCCGGATGACGTATGGCAATCTCGTACCAAATCGTGAGAACTGACAGTTAAGGATACTTTGTAAAACATAATGAAATAATATTCTGTGGTTAATGTGATTAAACAACCAATTTTCAACACAAATTATTAAAAAAGAAACTTTTATTGTAACAGGTCTCTTATTATTATTTCTTTCTTTCCAAAATACAAAAATGTGTTTAATATAAGATATTTATTTAATAGAAACGAAGGCATATTCGTTCGACAACAAACAATAATATTGTTAAGAAACACAGTCCTACTTACCGATTCGGAATACGCCCATCATTTGTAATACTCCTCAGTCTTTCAAGAACAATTTGTTAAAAGTCCGACACAGTAAACCAAGCCTTCCAGCCGTAGTAGGAGCACTTTCTCCGTGTCGGATGAAAGCGGTTTCTCTGACGGTATCTCCTGCCCAGTGACTACCAGCCTGCACGGCCAAGCTCGCTCTCGCAGCGCGCCTCGTGACGTCATTGACGGATGCACGTGAGCTCGCACCGGCAACATGACATCCCTCTCGTCACCGTGTAGACAACACCGTCGTTGTCCACGACGGGAAAAGACATAGTGTGGCGGAATCATGCATAATGTAAATTAACATCTGTTCTTTGACGGGTTATACACCTTGAACGGCGCGCCAGAGATTAAACAAGCGTCGAGAACATAAGTTGGTGTTTTCGATGACGTTTTCGCTGAAAGCACCTGGCATTGATATATTTTTGTTTTTTAGGTTCGTATGATCGATTACACGTTGTGAATCTACAGATGACGCGATATGTTGAAAGTAATTATGTTTCATCTTTGTTCATAATGTGTCGATTATTTATCTTCACTTCATCATGACTGGTATTGCCTTATTTATAATTCTCATCATCATCATCATCGGTGTCATCATCACCATCATCACCACCACCATCATCACCAACAGCAGCCGCAGCGGTCACTTAATGGCTGAAATATCTGTATTTCTTCTATACAACTCTTATCTTCAGATGCTCTTGCTATCGTCGTCGTGGTCCTCCTCCTCCTCATCATCATCATTATCATCCCACTCTTCACTTACCGAACCATCAGCATAAGTACAATCTCTATCATCATTAAAAATTATTTTCTTCATATTTGATACAGATTTGAAAAAATGAAATAAAAAAACAACGTTTTTTTCAAAAATAAATAATTGTTGACTGGCCATTGTATATTACATATTGCCTGCGTGTGTTGAAGTACACTCGTGGGTTGTTGATCACGCCATTACATAAAATTTACATGTTTGCCTTGTCATTTGTCAAAAAATACATGACAGATTTAATCCGTGTGTCAGAATTAACATATTTCACGATTATCCATGAGTTTTGTCACTTAGTATGCATGTAAGCGACCCCATGAGTAGCCGCCCTGAAGGTTGTGTTTTCGGATTAACGAGGTTCCGATTTAAGAGGTTTCAGTGTATAATTTTGCCCTTGTGGGTATCAACAAACTCAGATCACAACGTGAGCAAACAGCATGATCTAACCGTGACGGAGATGCGCCCTGGTGATACAAGTATATTGACATAGCTCATTAGCCGACGTATGTTCATTAGCATAACAGTGACGCAACAGCGTTGAGTGGTTACAGTGACGATGTAGGCACACATTAAGTCGATTGGCCAGCCATGTCAGTCATTAGGAAAGCAGCATGTGGTCAGTCGGTGATCCACGTGGCCAGTACTGACCCCCTGTTGAGCACGACGGGCTCCGGAATGGTCAGTTTGAAATCCCTAATTTGTAAAGAATCTGTTCTATATATTTTCTTTAAGAAATTATCGTTAAATCATGCAATACTGTTATAATGTGACTAAATATTCTACCATTCGGCGCTGGTGATTCGATCAGCTGGTACAATGTGACACATCCAATCATCAAGTGCTGTATGTCAATTTCAGTCATCCAGTATTGTATAACATATTCAATCATCCTGTACTGTGTAACATGATCAATCATACGGTACAATGTGACACATCCAATCATCAAGTGCTGTATGTCAATTTCAGTCATCCAGTATTGTATAATATATTCAATCATCCTGTACTGTATAACATATTCAATCATCCTGTACTGTGTAACATATTCAATCATACGGTACAATGTGACACATCCAATCATCAAGTGCTGTTTGTCAATTTCAGTCATCCAGTATTGTATAATATATTCAATCATCCTGTATTGTGAAACATATTCAATCATCCGGTACTGTGTAACATATTCAATCATCGGTGATGTGTAACATATTCAATAATCCGATTTTGTTAAACATATTCAATCATACGGTACAATGTGACACATTCAATCATCAAGTGCTGTATGTCAATCTCAGCCATCCAGTATTGTATAATATATTCAATCATCCTGTATTGTGAAACATATTCAATCATCCTGTACAATGTGACACATCCAATCATCAAGCGCTGTATGTCAATTTCAGTCATCCAGTATTGTATAATATATTCAATCATCCTGTATTGTGAAACATATTCAATCATCCGGTACTGTGTAACATATTCAATCATCGGTGCTGTGTAACATATTCAATAATCCGATTTTGTTAAACATATTCAATCATACGGTACAATGTGACACATTCAATCATCAAGTGCTGTATGTCAGATTCAATCATTCAGTATTGTATAATATATTCTATCATCCTGTACAATGTGACACATTCAAGCGACCGGTATTGTGTAACATTCAATCATCCCGTATTGTGTGACACACCCAGTCATCGGGTACTGTGTGATATATTTAATCATCAAATACTGAGTGACATATTCAATCATCCAATACTGTGTAACATGTTTAATAATCCAATACTGAGTGACATATTCCAACATCCAATAATGTGTAACATATTTAATCATCAAATACTGAGTGACATATTCAATCATCCAATACTGTGTAACATATTTAATAATCCAATACTGAGTGACATATTCCAACATCCAATAATGTGTAACATATTTAATCATCAGATACTGTGTGACATATTCACTCATCCGTTATTGTGTGACATATCCAGTCATCTGACACTGACATACTCAATCATCGGGTATTGTGTGACATATTCAATCATCCGGTACTGTGTAACATCCAATCATCCGGTACTGTGTGACATATCCAGTCATCCGACACTGTGTAACATACTCAATCATCGGGTATTGTGTGACATATTCCATCATCGGGTATTGTGTGACATATCCAGTCATCCGACACTGTGTGACATACTCAGTTATCGGGTATTGTGAAACATCCAATCATCCGGTACTGTGTGACATATCCAATCATCCGGTTCTGTGTGACATATCCAATAATCCGGTTCTGTGTGACATATCCAATCATCCGGTTCTGTGTGACATATCCAATCATCCGGTACTGTGTGACATATCCAATCATCCGGTTCTGTCTGACATATCCAATCATCCGGTACTGTGTGAAATATCCAATCATCCGGTACTGCGTGACATATCCAATCATCCGGTTCTGTGTGACATATCCAATCATCCGGTACTGCGTGACATATCCAATCATCCGGTTCTGTGTGACATATCCAATCATCCGGTTCTCTGTGACATATCCATTCATCCGGTTCTATGTGACATATCAAATCATCCGGTCCTGTGTGACATATCCAATCCTCCGGTTAATCTGTGAGATATCCAATCCTCCGGTTCTGTGTGACATATCCAATCATCCGGTACTGTGTGACATATCCAATCATCCGGTGTTGTGTGACATATCCAATCATCCGGTACTGTGTGACATATCCAATCATCCGGTACTGTGTGAAATATCCAATCATCCGGTACTGTGTGATATATCCAATCATCCGGTACTGTGTGAGATATCCAATCATCCGGTATTGTGTAAAATATTCCGTCATCCGGTACTGCGTGACATATCCAATCCTCCGGTTCTGTGTGACATATCCAACCATCCGGTTTTGTGTAAAATGTTCAGTCATCCGGTACTGCGTGACATATCCAATCATCCGGTTCTGTGTGACATATCCAATCATCCGGTGATGTGTGACATATCCAATCATCCGGTACTGAGTGACATATCCAATCATCCGGTACTGTGTGACATATCCAATCATCCGGTTCTGTGTGACATATCCAATCATCCGGTTCTGTGTGAGATATCCAATCATCCGGTACTGTGTGACATATCCATTCATTTTGTATTGTGTGACATATTTAATCATCCGGTTCTGTGTGACATATCCAATCATCCGGTTCTGTGTGAGATATCCAATCATCCGGTACTGTGTGACATATCCATTCATTTTGTATTGTGTGACATATTTAATCATCCAATACTGTGTAACATATTCAATCACCCGGTGTTGTGTGACATATTCAACCATCTGACACTGTGTGACATATTCAATCATCCGACACTGTGTAGCATATTCAATCATGGGGTGATATGTAACATATTCATTCATCGGTTAATGTGTGACATCTTCGATCATCGGGTGCTGTGTCACATATTCAATGATCCGGTATTGTGTGACACATCCAGTCATCCGACACTGTGTGACATATTCAATCATCCAATAGTATGTGACATTCAATAATCAAGTACTGTGTGACATATTAAATCATCCGGTATTGTGTGACATATCCAGTCATCCGACAATGTGTGACATAGTCAATCATCCGGTACTGTGTGATATTCAATCATTATGTTACATATTCAATCATCGGGTACTGTATGATATATTCAACCATCGGGTACTGTGTAATATATTCAATCATCGGGTTCTGTGTAATATATTCAATCATCGGGTACTGTGTAATATATTCAATCATCGAGTACTGTGTAATATATTCAATCAGCGGGTACTGTGTAATATATTCAATCATCGGGTATTGTGTAATATATTCAATCATCGGGTATTGTGTAATATATTCAATCATCGGGTACTGTGTAATATATTCAATCATCGGGTACTGTGTAATATATTCAATCATCGGGTACTGTGTAATATATTCAATCATCGGGTACTGTGTAATATATTCAATCATCGAGTACTGTGTACTATATTCAATCAGCGGGTACTGTGTAATATATTCAATCATCGGGTATTGTGTAATATATTCAATCATCGGGTACTGTGTAATATATTCAATCATCGGGTACTGTGTAATATATTCAATCATCGGGTGATGTGTAATACATTCAATCATCGGGTACTGTGTAATATATTCAATCATCGGGTGATGTGTAATATATTCAATCATCGGGTACTGTGTAATATATTCAATCATCGGGTACTGTGTAATATATTCAATCATCGGGTATTGTGTAATATATTCAATCATCGGGTATTGTGTAATATATTCAATCATCGGGTACTGTGTAATATATTCAATCATCGGGTACTGTGTAATATATTCAATCATCGGGTGATGTGTAAT